AAAAAAAAAAAATAAATAAATAAATAAAACGTTACAAAATAATCTAAACATTACAAAAACAAACGAACAAGACACGAAAAAGCCCCCAGCACAAGCAAAAAGCTTCAGAGGAAAAAGCAACCACCGGTTTGTAGGAGCTGGGACAATGCCGGGTGGAGAAAGAGGGGTGAATATTTGGGGTGGAGGAAACAGCATGTACAAAAGCACGGGGGTGTGAAAGAGCCTGACACTCTGCTGATCTGTCCACCACTGCACCTAAAACACCAAACACCTACTGCATGCAAGGACCTTCCTGTGCTTGGGGTCTGCCGTTCGAGCCTAGAATTCGGGGCTCCTCAGACAGCAGGTCCCAGAGCCTTGGCAGTGCACCATCGACCAAGGATATTCTCTGCTACCAGGCCACTCACTAGGTCTCTGCTGCTTCTCCAGAGCAGCGATATTTAGCAATGCCAAGCACGACGGTGCTTTTTGGCCTCTGCCAGCTCCCAGGAGAATTGCTTCCAAATTTCTATCACAGTTGGTTTCCAACAACATCCAAACGGTTTGCCACAAGCCCGGCAGCCCTCGCTGTCCAGGACCACAGGTGCCAAGACAAAGGTTGGCCCAGGCAATGCCCTCCTGCTGCCTAGCGAGTCAAAGGGCCCTGTCGACTGGTAGCAGCTCTGGAGTGTCAGTTTCAAGCTCAGGAAATAGAAAAAGAGGCAGCTGGTTTAGAGCACTTCCTCGAGGGCAGTGGCTTGACCCAGTGACCTCTCAAGGAGCCTTCCAGTTGCATGGAACGTTCTCTGCCCTGCCCACCTTCCTCTGGCTTAATGCCTTCTCAGATTTCTCATCTCCGCAGAGGGCCTAACTCAGGAAAGCTTTCTCCGAGCACCCGGCCCTGGCCAGGGGAGGAGTCCGCCCTTGTGCTCCCAAGCCTCCTGTGTTCCCCCCATCACAGCATTCTCTCACTGTGGGTGAGAGCAAGACCCTGGAGCTGGATTACATGGGCTCAAGCCCTGGCTCTGCCACTTGCCAGCTCTGTGACGTTGAGTGAGTTTCTTAACCTCCACGTGCCTCAGTTTCTTCATTTGCAACATGGAACCTTATCTCCATGGCCAGATGAGTTAGTATTTACTGAAAACAGTGTCTGGTCCCTAGTTTGTGCTATTGGTGTGTAAGCTACTGCCCCTCCTGGGCTTGCCCTGATGCCAGGAGGACAGAAGCGGGGTCTGCTCTTTCCTGGTCTCAGAGCAGGACGTGCTGAGGCTCCCCACATGGCTCATCAAGGATACAGACGAATGAGGTGGGCTCCCTCAGGAGGCCTAGTGTTCGGGTAAAAACAGCATGGGGCTGGGGGTCTGGGCCAATCCATCCTTTCCCCTGCCTGAGCCTCAGTTACTTCCTCTGTAAAATGGGGACAGCAGCCTGGGGACCAAAACACTGCAGACCGTAGAGTGTTGCCCCGCACAGAGAACAGCACCCCTCTGCTGGCCCTCCCCCCGCAACGCCCGTTCTGGCCCCTCTGCCCGCCTCCATCGGCGTCCTCGTGACCGTCCGGCAGCGTGCTGGTTTAGCCCGGTAAGTGACAGACGGCTCTGGCCACTCATGAGTGCGTGGCTCCCCTGCCAAGGCAGTGCTCTCCCCCTGCCCCGCACCTCCCGCGAGCCCCTCCCTCACCTTGAGTCACCACCTTGCCGAAGACAGGCAGGGAGTCGAGCGTGGAGCAGTTCCAGCGCCGGTTCCGGAACTGGTACTGACACTCCTCGATGGCGAGCTGAGCACCTCGGCGCACCGAGTCCATCACCTCAAGGTTCCGCTTGCACATCTGCACCTGCCTCTGGATCAGGCCCTTGAGCTTCTCGCACGTCTCCTCCTCCGAGATGCTCCCCACGGAGGACAGCTTGGCCAGGTACCTGGGGAGAAGGTGGCGGGGTGGAGTGTGGTGCAGCGATCCCTCCCCCTCTCTCTGCTGCCGGGACGAGGCTGTGCCCAGCCCAGGTCCCTGGGAGCTGACTCATCCCGGTGGTGGCTCGTGGCTGTGCCTTCTCTCTCTGGATCCAGCGACAGGCCCCCTTGCCTGGCTTTTGGGACCAGAGGGGGAAGTGCCGTCTCATCGTAAGAAGGCTTCCGCCCCAGCCAAAGCAGGCCAAAGCACTGAGAGGGACGCTGACGGAGCCCCCACGGGACCCCTCCTGGCCCAGGGTGGCCCCTGCACCAGCGTCTGTACCCCAATGTTACGCCAGACTTGGCCCCTGGGCTCTGACCCCTTCACGTCCCTCTAGCTGGGACGCTAGAACCGCTGCACTCGTGTCTCTTTCCGCACCCCCAGGCAAGGACCCCAGTGAACGAAGCCCGCATTCTGGCTGCAAGGCCCAGACCCTCACTGTCGGCCACATCCCGGGGCACCAGACGGTGACCAGCATCAACTGCAGCTGGGGGACTCGAGATGATGAGTGCGTGGATGGTGGCAGGGGAGGAGGGCTTAAAACCAGTGTGCCGTGCTCGTCCGTCAGCCCCTGGAGTTTTTGTGGCTTGACGATGGGGCAACATCTGGTTCCATCTCATAGAATTATGGTGGGATCACGAGCTAGATACCTTATGTCAGGGAGCTCTGGGACCCGGCCTTTGGGGAGAAGGGGCTCTAAAGTGTCTACTTCAGGGGAGGACAGGAGGGAGCGCTGCTGTTCATTGGACACCCACTATGTGTCGTGCACGGTGGCGGTCACTATATTCTGCTGCACCCTTGCCTCCCATCTATGAGGTGGTAATTGTTATGCCCATTTTATGGATTCCAAAATGAAGGCTAAGAGGGTGACACAGATGGCAAGTGCCAGAGCTGAGCTTCAAACCCCTTCAAACCCTGTGGGCCTTCCCCCTGCCTGTCCTCCTCCATGGTAAGTTGAGGGGCAAGTTGAGACTCTGTGTCACCTAAGGACAGACACTGTGATCGGGACCAGGAGGCCAGAGAGCCGGAAGCAAGACACATGAATGCTCACCAGGATGGGAGCAGAGCTAGGGAAAGGCCCTGTCAGGAAGAAGTGGTCCCTCCCAAGGGACAGAGGTGTGCACTGCCTGAACACCTACTAAGTGCCGGGTATGTTTCAGATAGGTGAAGTGACTGGCTCGGGGTCACCTGGCTTGTCTAGTTTGGAGGCAGATCTACTAGTTTGGAGCCCAGGTCCGGATAACCCCATGACTGTTCTAAGCACTGCCCCTCAGCCTGCCCCCCCCCCTCCCCTCTAGCATCCTTGGCCAGGGCCAAGTGAACATAGTAGGTGCACAAGGGGGAGCTGAGTGCTGGGAGGAGAGCTGAGTGGTAACTCTGAAGGCCTCCTCTCCCTTTCCTTGCCCTCACTTCCCACCTGTTCAGTGGGACATGATCTGCTCCCCTCCCAGGGCGGGGCTGGCAGGGGCTGCCTTCCAGGTCCTTGGAGGAGCAACAGAGTAGAGTATCGCAGACTTCCAGAATGCTCCCTGACAGATAGTCTGGTCCATTATACAGGTGAGCAGAGTGAGGGAAAGGGGCCTTCCCACCGTCTCCCAGGAGGAAACTCAGAGCCTGGCTCTACCCTTAGTCTCGGTCACACAACAGGGGCTCGAAACAAAGAGAGCGAGTATCCTGCTGCCCCCGACTCTATAGTGAGCCAGTCCCCCACCGGGAGCTTGGCCAGCCACCCTGGTCTGGGGGAGCTTTCTAGGCATGGAAGTGGAGATGCTTGGAGGTGATGAAGCCGCACAAATTTCTTGTCCATAGAAGGATCAAGGGGGAAGGCCCACTCCATGGGACTCAGTTTTCTCATCTGTAACGTGGGGAAGTTACCACTGGTTCTGGCTAAGTCAAGGAACTGTGGTCAGAGCAAAAGGGGGTCCTGTGTGTGAAAGATGGGCTGACAAGGGGTCTGAGGCAGTAGGGCAGGAACTTGCCATTTGTTTGCCAAATGAAGTAAAGGAATAAATGATGAGCAAAGAAGTACACAGAAAGCCCTCTTAAAATATGGGACATTTTTATGACTACGGTAATAAGCACAGTTAGCTTTCATGCAGCTTAGGACCAGGCTAAGCACTTCGCTTACATTGTTGCATTTATCCTCCTAGCAAAGCCAACGGACCCCTGTTTTATAGAGGAAGAAACGGAGGCACAGACCCGTTACGTAGTTTGCCTTGTGTGCAAGGTCATCCAGCTCATAAGAGGCGGAGCAGGGACTTGAACCCGGTTTTGCCCAACTTCAAAGCCTTTGAAGTGGATACAATGCTGTTTTAAGTGGCTCGAGGACTAGAACTGGCCCCAGCAGGCAGGAGCTGCTGGGAGCCAGGTTTGCTCAACCTAAGGATGCTGGTCAAGGTGGAGACGATGGGCTGCCAACCGGTTGCCGAGTTCTCCTCCCCCGGAGGTGTGTGAGCAGCAGGTGGATTCTGTGTGTCAGGCATGGGGGCTGGCCCAGAGGAATGGTTCTCGAATCTGGCTGAGCATCGAAACGTTTGTGGGGTTTGTTGAAAGTGCAGGTGCCGGGGCCTCGCTCCAGGCGGGGCTGGGTGGGCATCTGGGCTTTTGACACGTTCCCAGGAGCAGCTGTGAAGCCAGACTGGCCCTGGAGGGCACTTCAGGGGAAGCTCTTGGCCAACCGCAGGGGATGTTTCCTTCTATGCCCGAGGGAGATCTGATTCTGGGACCCACTTTCCGCCTCACGGCTGCATCAGCTCCCCCACCCCCTGCCCCCCACCTCCTGGTTGTGGGGCTTGAGTCTAGCTGTCTTTATCTAGAAATGGAGATAATGGTTCCTATCCCAGAGGGCTGCTGTGAGAAATTAAGGTGATTTGATGTGGTTGGTGCTGCCGGCTCTTAGCCGGGCCCACGGGAGGTGTGCTGTAGCTGCGAGGATCCCCCCAACTTCCCTGGCAGCACACGGGTGAGTAGAAGGTGGGTGGTCTTGGGCTGAGGCATCCAACCTTCCCTTCCTCTCCCCACATTCCTTGCTTCCTGGAGGCCCCCCCTGTCTTCTCTGCCAGGTCCTGCCTCAGGGATGCAGAGACTAGCAGGAGCCTGAGCCTCCCAGAGGGGAGACAAGGGTGGGAAGGTGGTGGAGGGGCAAGGGGAGGGTGCATCTGGAGGGGGAGGGGACACACTGGCTCCTCAGCCCTGTCTGGGTGCTCCCCGTGCCTGGGCCAGGTCCCCTATGGCCCTAGTCCCACCTGGTGCTCTTGGCCTGCAGGGGGCGCCAAGAGCCCAGCTACTGGCTGTGGGCCAGGTCCATGTTTGGGAGGCCACCGGTGAGGGGACAAGGAGTTGGGCCTCAAGTTGGATCCTTTCCTGCTCAGATCCAGACCTGGCCTCTTGAATAAGGGTGGGATCCCCTATTCCCTGAAGGGCATGGGGGCACAGAGCTGGCCCCTGTTCCCTCTGCATCCAGCCGATGGGCCAGGTCAGGCTGTACAGGCTCCAGGCTCCTGGTGGAGGGAGGTGTTCAAGGGCAGGGCTTCTCTGGGTAGGGAATGCTGGCTGGGGAGGCCTGGCTGAGCTACCAGCCCACAGTGTGACCTTGGGCAAGTCCCTGCCTACCCGGAGCTTGGGTCCTCGTGGGGACACTAAACTGGTGGGTCTGTGAGGCCTTTCCCTCTGTCAGAGTGACAGTCCCTCTTCTACAGATGGGGATGGAGGTGTCCAAGCCTCAAAGGCCTCAGGAACCCCTGCATTGAATGAGAAATAAAGTAGACCAGGGAAGCCCTCTCCCCTAGGCTAGACTCAGTGAGGGGAGGCAGCCTGAAATAACCGTCCTACGGCTTTAGGGGCAGGCTGCTGGGTGGCCATGGCCGTGAGTCACTGGGACAGCTTCCAGGAAGAAGCTGAGAACCCTCTTCCGCTGAGGAGTGTGCCTGTCCCCCCCACCCCCCACGGCTGGCACCAGTGCCACCCCCCAGCCCCTGCCTTCATCTGGCTCAACAGCTGTCCCCTTCCATGCAGGAGACACAGCTCCACCCCACCTCGATTCTCCTGGGTCCCAGAGTCTTGCCTGGGAAGGCCTGGCTGCCAGGACTGGACGTGCAGCTGGGAACAGGGCGGAGAGAGTTGGGACCCCGGGCATCACAGGCCCTTGCCCGCACAGCCCGCTTGTTCTGGTGCCCAGCCTCATTTTACAGAGGAGCAAACTGAGGCCCCGAGAGGTGGAGGGACTCACCCAAAGTCACACAGCCAGTGAGTGAGTGGCGGGGAGCTCTGTGTCTCCTGTACCCCGGTTGTGGATCTGCCTTGTTTGACAGCCGTGGGGGCTGACACTACCCTCAATGTCGCGTCCGGCCCATGGCCTCCTCGGGGCCCGGCACAGGTTGTGGCACATAGAAGGTGCTCAATAAATGCCTACAGCATGATGGAGGGCTCTGTCCCCCTCGGCTCACCTCTTGGCAGAGTCGTCAGGGTAGGGAGGAGCGGGGGTGAGGGAGTAAAATGGGGGCTGCCTTTGCCTTTGAGGGCTGGAGGCTGTGAGAGGCTAGAACCCACATTTTCCTGGGGGCCTCAGGAATCCCCTCTCTGCACCCTAAGGTGGCTCGGCCTTTTCCCCGGAGACACGTGTGCCACTTGATGACCCTGGAGCTGGGCCGGGCCCAAATGTTGGCTGCACAAGCCATTTCTGGGGGGCACAGAGAACCCGGGAGTGATCGGTATTGGCTGCCGCTGGGCTAGGTGGCCAGGCCCGTGGAGGGCCTCGACCATCTCTGCTCCTTCTCTCGCTCTGGTTGCCTTGCCCCAGTTTAGGCTTCTTCCTGCCACTGCTGAGTACAGGCTTAGCAATTTGCCACCTGCTGCTCCAGCCACCCAGGACTCTAGCCACAGCCCCGCCATCGATCAGGTTACCCCAGCAGCCCGGGCTGCCCCGGCTGCCGCTGCCAGCCAGCTCGTGCCCCCATCTTCTCCAACGGGGGCTGCGGGTCCCACAGGCCCCTCCCAGGAGGCCCTCCCCGCCGGCCCGTGCCGAAGCCTGCGAGGCTGGAGGGCCCTGGCCCTGCCAGGGAGATCAGATCCTCTCGGCCACCTGCTGTTTTCATTAGAAACTAAAATTAGCTGGGCTTGTCCCAAGCTTTTCCAGGTTTGCTTGCTTTTTAAAAAAAATATACAAATTCCTAGAGAAAAATCCGCACCTCTGCGCCTCCTCTCAGCTCTTACCCTGCGCGTCAAGAGGAGAGGAGACGGGAAATAGCTGGAGCGTTTGGGAGGCCAAGCAGATCAGTGTCGTGGGTCCTGGCCCCGCGGGTATCCAGGTGGGGGCTGGGACGCCAGCCCAGGCCTCTCTGCCCCCTCCCTCTGGCCTCCCTGCCTGCCTGGGCCACATTTAGAGCCTCCTCAGGAGTGGCAGTGCCTGGGACACCAGGGAGGAAGGAGGCCAAGCAGGCGGGAGGAGGAGCCGGAAGGAACCGGAGTGCCTGCCGAACAGTGAGCCGCCTGGGGAGACACGGCCGCGTGAAGGCAAGCATGCCACGGGTCCCACCCAGGACCACGTTCTCTCCGGGGGTGGCCAGCACCTGGCTCCCCGGGTCCCCATCACGCCCCTCAGCTGTTCTCGGGCCTCCGGATGTTTCTGCACCCACGGTCTCCGAATCCCGAGGCCCTGTCCTGGAGACCTATCATTTCGCACGGCCCACAGGGTGGCACACTGTGCGAGAGAGATGGCAGACTGGGTCAGAATCCCAGCTCTGTGTTCCCGGAGGCAAGTTAGCGAGCATCTCTGAACCTCAGTGTCTTCATCTGCTGTAGAATGGGGAGAATAATAGTTCTCACCTCAAGAGACATCAACGGATTAAATGTTCACATAGTAGCCACTGCTCCCCGGTTGGCAACATTACCAAGTCCTATTGATCGTCACTGTGGTCATTAAGGTGTTTACCGTCATCACCTTCATCATCACTGCCACCTCAAAGCCCCTGCGCAGTCCCTCGAGCTGGGCCCTCTGCTGGACTGCAGAACAGTCCTGTTCACTGGTCTTCTTTTGCTCGGCTCTTTTAGACGGGGGTTCACCAGCCTGAGGGAAAGACACACCCCCACTGGGAAGGGCGGACACTTCGGCCTCCATCCCCACTGCAGAGCTTGGACACAGCTTGCTCCGATGGAGCACACAGAGCTGAAGGATGCTTGCCGGTGACCTGGGCCCACTGGTCGGACCCTCCAGGGACCAGGGGTCCAACAGGTGGGACACAAGTGGGTGCTTTAGGAGATCAGAGGCTGGGGCACCGCGGTGAGGGGGCTAGGGACAGGGGGGTCCAGTGCAGGCTCAGTGTGTCTGGGGGACTTGGGAGCCCTTTGCGGGACAAGATTGACAGGAAGGGAGGGACCTCATGTCCCCTGTCACCTGTGCTCTTCAAACAACAGCCACATGCTTTAACATATCCTTAGTGCAGCCACGCAGGGTTGGCCAGGACGGTATCATCGCCCTCCATTTTACAGATGAGGTTCCGGGAGGCATGTGTTCAAGGCCATGCAGCCAGTCAGGGCTGGGCAGCATTTGAACACAGGTCATTCTGGCTCCTAAGCCTGGGTTGGCGGATCAGGCTCCAAAGATGGAGTGGGGTAGTGACAATGATTTGAGGAAGGTGGCTTCATTCTTCCATTGCTGAGACCTTCTGCAGTCCCAGGGCTTTTGGGGACCATAGCAAAGGCATCTGCTCTGCTTTTAGGAACAAAGGATACTGGGGAGGGAAGTGTCTCAGTGTGGGCAGCCTGGATGGCTTCTGGGGCCATGGAAGGGGCTGCTGCTACTGGCCTGAAAGTCCTGGAGGGGCAGCCAGTAAGGAGGGGTCAGCCTTGGAGACACAGTGGTTGTAGGGGTGGTGGGCACAGCCTCCCCTCCACCTTCTCCCCGGCCTTGGCAGAACTCTGGAGTCCTCGGTGCCCAGGTCAAGTTCTCTTTGTCCCAAGTGCCTTTCCTCAGCTTGGGGGTGGGGGGGCGGATGATGGCCTTTCCTGGAGCCCAAGTCCCTACTTCTGTACCTCGGGGCACTATTCCCCCTCCTCCTGTCTCCTGGGACCCCTCGCTTCCTTTGCTCTCCATCCTCAGAAGCCTCAGCAGCCCCTGTTTTTGTCTTTTCACTTCCCAGTTTCCATTGCTTTCCCACACCTGGTAGCCCAGCTCCTACATGTCATTCCTGAGGGCTTCCTGAGTGGGAGCCCCCCTCCCACTCACCATCTCACAGTATTTGTTCCTGGGGAGCCGGTGGCTGACTCAGGGCCGGCAAGTAGCCACTCAGACCTTAGCTGGATGGCCCCAGAGCTGCACCAGAAAGTAGGAATTTTCCTTCTCTCCGCAGGGCAGGTGTGATTGTGGGGGTGAGTGGGCATCAAAGTTAGGGCACTTCCTGACCTTGCCTTGCCTCCTGTTTGCCAGAAGAGAGCTTCTCCCTTGCAAAGACCCACCCGACGCTTGTCCCCCGAGTGCCTCTCTCGCCTTTGTAGCCACTGAAGCGTTCATCCTCTCTCGCTCGGCTGAGGGAGCCCAGGGGGTGGGAGCGAGGAGGGGTGGCTGAAACCCCAGCTGAGCTGTCCAGGGCAGGAGCTGGCTTCCTAGAGTGGGGCTCATGCTCTGGTGGCTCCAGGTTGCTAGTGACTTCCTTGGCTTTGGCAGATCCCTTCTGAAGGCACCGTTTCCCGGAGAGCCTGTGGCCAAACCTGCGCCCCCATCCCAACAAGGCAGCTAGGACAACTTTGGTCCCTTCCTCGCTCCAGTCGCTCATAACCTCCCATAGAGGATGACAGGCTAGGGTGTGGGGCTGCAGGGAAAGTCCTGGGAAGACAGTCAGGAGACCTGGGATGCAGTTCCACCTCTATCACTAAGGTGCTCTGTGGCCCCAAGAGCCCACCACAGTGCCTGGTGGGGCGAGTCTTGACAAGCAAGCATTTGCCATGACTGAATGGGGCTTTTTCCAGGCATGCCCCTGCTCGGAGGTTCAGGGTCCCTGCAAGGGTTGAATGGGTAATCTCCCGGGACCCTTCAAATTCTGATGGCCGTGACTTGGCCCTCGATTCTCCGGCGTGCCAGGACCGCCAGGACCCCGACTCGAGAGGAATGCCCTGCTGTTACCGGCCCTTGAGGAAGAGTTCCTGGAACCCAGTCCTGCCATGATAGGTCCCGTGTGTGAACAGAGTGAGAAATAGGGTCTGAAAGAACCATCCAGGAGTCACAGCAGGAAGAGGCCCCTGGAGTCTCAGCAGAAATTTCCCGCTGCTTCTAATGGGCCTCTCCAAAGTTCCCTTGTGAGCTGTGAGCTGCTAGCGGTTGGGAGGTTCCTTCCCTCCTTGAGCACATGCCTCCCTCCTCCTACCCACCTTCCTTCCCTCTCTGCTCAGACCAGGTCCCCTCCACGGTGGGGTTTGTGACTTGGTCAGGGGAACTTTTAGAACGTAGTTGGGTTTAAAGTTTGCCAGGAGATGGGGGAGGTGGGGAGGGGCTTGGATGGGGAAAGGGGGAGCTGGTGGGGGTCACAGCAGGGAGCGAGCCTTCCCCTGGGTTTGGCTGGATCACAGAAGACGCAGTTCAGGACTCAGAGATAAAACCTGGCAACTCCTGAGGCCATCTGGACCGCAACCATGGGGTCGCGGCTTTGCCTTCCAGCTGAGTTTGCTGAGCAAACGGCAGCGGCTCTGGCAAGCTGGTTTGCAGTGGGGGTGACTGGAGGGGCCGGAGGGGCAGCTGTCACCCCCGTCCGCGGCTCCCTGGCCAACCCTGTGCCCAGTTGGCTCAGGCCAAGCCCTTCTTCCCAGAGGGAAGAACAAGAAAAGGAGGCTTGTCGTAAATGCTCAGCTTTGCAAACGCACCCACAGGGCCCGAGTTGGGCGAGTTTCAACAGGTTTGGGGAACACTGTCTTGTCAGATGCTTGCTGAGTTGCTCAATTGCTAATCCCAGGCTGAGGGAAGAAAGTCAAGCCATAGCAGACAGCTGGGTGATGACTGCCGCCTGAGTAAACCCCTCAGGCAGAGCCTGGTCTTCGGGCTCTGCCACGGAGGGTGAGGGAGAGAAAGGGCTTAGGCAGGATCTGGGCGGGGAGGTGCACTGGCAGGGAGCTACGGGGGCCAGAGTAGCAGATCTGCTGGGTGACAGACAGCCACACTCCCTGACACTCACGTTGGCCCATCTTAGCATCACCTGAGACTCAGGGGGTTACAGTGGAGCTTCCCTCCTACTTGAGGTCTCTAAGATCGGGCACCATTTGACAAAAACTTACAGCCCTCTGGAGCGAACAAGCCTTTCCCCTTTTCGCCCATCAGATATTGACTGAGCACCTAAGCACACTTGACATTCAGGTTTTATAACCTCGTAGAAGTACAAAGCCACCCTACTGGACTGTAGTTACATACAGTACGAAACTGTCCTATAGGCAGGGGGATAAAAGCCAGGAGATGGGGACATGCGAGAGCACGTCAAGCTCAAGTCCTGATTCTGATTTGCAGAATGTCCTTGGGGAAGCAGCTGCACCTCTGGGCCTCTGAAGCGAGATTGAAAAGAATACAGACCCCTTGTTCCAAAAGTGGGAAGGGAGAGGTTACACGGTTCTAATAGGGTCATGGGTGTGAAAGTGCTTCATAAACCACTGATTCTCAATGGGGGGTAATCTTGTCCCCCAAGGGGACATTTGGCCATGTCTAGAGCACCTGGGGATATGCTACTGGCATCTAGTAGGAGAAGCCAGGGATGCTGCTGAACATCATACAACGCACAAGACGGGCCCAAAATATCAACGGTGCAGTTTGGGAAATCCTGGCATAAACTATAAAGGGCTGTGGATGCGTGAGTGATTGATGGGACGCCCAGAGTCAGGGGAGGAGCACCAAGGAGGGGGGTTTACTATCTAGAAGGGAGGGAGGGATCCTTTATAGCTGGGGATCGGGAGGCTCTTCCTGGGGGAGATGTGCCACACACCTTCACCTGTGGGACTGGCTCTGCCCACACCTGGCCCAGTGAGTTGCACCCAGAGTGTCAGGCCTCAGTCTGCTCATGGTCAAGGAGGTCACCGGCTGTGGCCCCCCTTGCTGGGCAAATAGGCACACGGGAGCTTGGACCAGAGATGCACACCTGTGGGGAGTCAGATGCAGTGAGGGTGAGATGCTTCCCCCAGCCGCCCTGAAGGGCGCTCCCAGACACACCTCCTCTGGCCACCAGGATTTGCCTGTGAGCCGGGCCGGACCTCCCTGGCTTTGTGAGGCTCTTGCAGGAGCCCTGGTTGAAGAGCAGGGAGGCGGCAGCCGATGATCCTACCTGTGTGACCCGTGTAAGAGCACAGGATCCCGACAGAGCAGTCTGGGGTAAACAGGGCTTGCGAGCAGCAGGCTGAAGGCTCATTCTCTCCATCATCCCTATAAACAAGGACACGACTCCCCCATCGCACCAACAGCCGCCCTCCATCTCCAGCAGCAGCCATGCCGGCCATTCCCAGCGCAAGCGTGCCTGGCACTGCGCTCGGTGTGCTATGTGCACGAGCTCACACTTGCCTCACTACCGTCCAAGAGTGGGTGCCACTTATATACAGATGAGGAACTTGAGGTTAAGTAACCTGTCTGTCGTCACTCAGCCGGTCAGCGGCAGACCTGGGATGGACCTGCGGGCTGTCTTGGAGACCTGGTTCTTAGCCACTCTGTTGGACTATCTCTGAGTGTGGAACGGCCCCCCCTACCCTCATCTGGTGGGCCTCTGCTGGGGCCCCAGCCCGGTGCACCACTGCCCTTTCTTCAGGAAATCCACAATAACGAAGCCCTCGCCAAGCTATGCCCTGACTCTTCCCAGTACTTTCATTTGGAGTTCAGAGCTATCCGCCGAGGACTGTGGCCCAGAGGGCAGGAGAGGCCCACCCAGAACCAGCCAGCTTGGGAGGCAGAGCCGGGACTGGAACCCCGGACTCTCAACTCCCAGCACGCCCAGTGTCAGAGGGAACTTTCAGGGCCGTTTCTGAGCCCATCTTTCAGAGACAGAGCCAGGCCTTTCGCCGACGGACTGTTTTCATCTATCCATCCCTCCCTCGGTGGTGGGAGCTGCCACAAGCTGCCGGCTCGCCTGGGGTGCCAGACATGAGTCTGATCGGCAGCTTTCAGCTTCTCTGGGCTTGCCCGGGCCTCAGGCTGGGGAGCCCTCCCAGCTCCAGGCTCCGTCCTGCCCGACAGCTGCACGCAGTGGGACACCTGGCCTCCCCGGCAGGCCACCGCCCTTCTGAGACAACAGACAGCATCGTCTCTCGCAACCGGCCAGCCAGCCGACCCTGGACTAAAGCCCGACACCAGGTACTTGAACGGGAACGGACACCCAGGCTTTGCCCCTCTGAGAACATTGCCAGCCGCCCTCTGGGGACCAGACGTCCACCGTGACTCAGACTTGAAAAAAATAGTGCCAGCCACCCTGCCTGGGTGGACATCTGCCTGCCCACAGCTCTTCCTTCTAAAGGCAGCTTTTGGGTCAGGTGCCCCTGCCATTTACTAACTAGGTGACTTTGGGCAGTGACCTCTGTGATCCCCAGTCTTCCCATCTGTGGAACGAGATTCAGATGTTGTCAGGATTTAGATAATGCGCTGGGAGCTATCACAATACTGATTACTACTATTGTCGTGATTCTGCCACCTCCAGGCCAAGTCCCCTCTGTGACTGCTCCAGCTCGCACCGAACCTTTCCTCTGATGGCACTAGCATGCACGCTGCCCCACCCATTCGTGTTTTTGCTTCTGTCCCGTCTTTCTAGACCCCAAGGTCCTTGGAGACCAGGCTGTGAGTGGGCTCAGTCCCTGTCTCAGGGATGGAGGTTGATAAATACAAGACGAATGACCCCGTCTTGGAATGTGCCCAGAGATCTCTTCTCCATCACTGCCCCTCTGGTTTGGTCCCGGGAAGCCCCTTATGTTTTCCGTCTTGGGCTGTGCAGAGACCCTTGGCTCAGAGCCCGGGGTGGAGCAGGAGCGAGCTGGGTCATCCAGAGACCTGCTTCGTGGCAACCTGAGCCATCACCACCGCAGAGAACAGGTTTGCCAACCTCTCTTCTCCCTCCAGGCCGCCCCTGCTCACCCCGCCCCCCTCGCGGGAGTTGTTGGAATTCCCCCATGGTTTTGCGCGACCCAAAGCTGGGACTGCCTCCCTGGCTGGGATTTTGGGTTTGGACGTGGCTGAGGGTGGCTGGTGACACCACCTGGGCCACACTGGCTCAACCTTGGGACGGCTTCAGGGAGGGGGTATGTCAAGTCCTGGGAAGCAGCACCTGGGTTCAGTTCTCTGAGTTTGGGCAAGCAGCTTCCCCTCCTGGGGCCTCAGTTTCCTCATCTGTAAAAGGAGCTCAAACACTGGATGCTCTTGAGGGACTTTTCCCTATGGATGCTGCTCTCTTCCCTGAAGGCCTGGGTCCGATTCTGGAACTGCCACTTTGTTGTCCTCCTCTTCGTAGCCCTTGGCACTGGGCGGGCCAGCCCCAGTTCTTGTTCTTCTGATGCTCACGCTCACTTTGGAGACCCTGGCTCTGAACCCCTGCTTTCAAGGGTCAGCTCTGGGGACCCCAGAACCCCCGGTTCCAAATCAGCTTCCCTCCTCCTCGTCTCTGCGACCTAGTCCCCACTCAGGAGGCTGGCCCGCGGAGGGGAACGGGAGGAGGTGAGAGTGCCCTGGTTCCTGTAGCTTTGCCACTGCCCCTGAAGTGTTAATCAAATTAAGTCTCCAAGAAAAACAAAAGCTGTGCAGCCACTTCGGGCTGCCTTGGAGTCGCTCGCTCTCCCAACAGCTGGGAGAATTCCACATCACCTCGGTCCCCCAAGCCCTGGGTGGCTCTGACCCCAACGCACACACTCCTTCCAGCCTGCAGGGCTCCGGCTGGCCGCAATGACCTCATAGCAACAGCCATTGGACACTCGGGGCAATTTCATGGGAGATATTTGTTCTTTAGTCTTGATGCAGAGGGAATTTTTTCCTCTCCCGCTGTCTCCATGGAAACCCCAGCTACACTGTTGGCCATCCCCCTTCCCACCTCATGCTTTTCAGATCAATATTGGAGCTTGGCTCCCCACTGGCTGCCCACAGCCGATGGGGGCAGAGCTCTGGGCAGAAGGAACTGGGGCCAGAGTTAAGCCTGGGGCCGGGGGAACCGTCACTGATGGGGGGATGAAGAAGGGCTCCGGAGTCTTCTCCCTTCCCTGTTCATCTACTCACCAAAGCTCATCCCTTTAGAACCCCCGCCTCCTCCACCTGAGACCCCTCAGTGAGCCCTCTGTCCCTTCCCAGGGAGTCACCTGAGCCAGGCCCAGCAACAGAGAAACAGGCCACCAGCGGTCACCCCCGGCCACCCTCCTCCTTAGGTAGAAACACAGAGAGGTGCTGGGCTGTTGTCTTCTTCAAGGGCTGGACAGAGTTTCTTCCTGCCCCAGGGAGGAAAAGGCCGGCCACCTCCGGCCACAGGCTCTCTGAGGCTGGGTGTCCCGGTCCCTTCCCTCTTTCTACCCCTGGCTCCCGCCCCCCAAGCAGAAACAGGTCCCTGCACGCCTCCAGCCCAGCCCGCAGCTCGGCGCAGCTCGGCGCGGGGAGCTCGCTCCTGGACTGCTCGGGATTAACCTGCTATTAGGACCCAGACTCCTACCCCGTAATGGGCTTCCCCGGCGACCTGTCAGCCGAGCCCGGTCTGCGCTAGGAGCCTGGCGCCCCACCCCGGCCGCCGCCCCGCGCTCGTACCCTCGCGCTCTCGGGCGCCCCAGGCCGCCTATGGGTGCGGATGCCGCCACCACCCCTGCCGCCTCTGGGCTGGGAGCCGCACCCGGGCAGGAGCGGTGCCCAGAGGGAGGCCCAGGCGGCGGCGGCGGCGGCGGCGGCAGCGGAGAGGGCGAGCGAGCCTCGCGTCCCGCGGCCGAGACACCTGC